CGCTGGTAGTGTTGCAGGGGAGGTCGATCTGGGACTGTGCTCAGGAACACGTCTAGCTGTCTCTTGAAGGTCTCCAGGGTGAACTCCCCCTCTCTTAGATCTGTCTCTTATACACATCTAGATGTGTATAAGAGACAGGAGAGTGATCCTTCTCGCAGGGATTGAAATCTGACTGCGGATCTGTTACGCAGGGGAGGGATNCTTATGCCCAGAACTACGGTCTGTCTCTTATACACATCTCATGTACTCAAGATTTCAACAGATTTCTTATGTATGATAATTCTGGTATCCAAGATACTTTACTGGTCTACTTATAGGACTCAAAAATGAACTTGAGGAAGAGTCTAAAAAACTCTCTGCTTTGCCACTATGGTTGGCAGTGTGCTTGAGTTGAATGTGACTTTAAACATTGATTTATTTGATTTATCTTTCCCTTTCAGAATTCTTTCTGCCGTGGCACCGCTGTGCCCAGCCAGAACTAGAGCCTCTGCAAGATCTTCGTTCGAGACATCTTCACCCAGAGGTCCAATGACACCAACAGATCTAACAAGATTGACAGGAAAGCGGCACTTTATGGTCCATGATGCAAGCCGATTGATATTCAATAAAGAGGACATGAGTGGACATCTCAGTTCCAAGCTCTCTCTCAAAGGTAACAACAAGAATCTTGCGGATAAGATTCTTGCTAAACCCGGCAATGCCTGCTCTGCCAAAAGGTGAGTCCGCTAGGGCCTTGCTCAGAGTCAAATCATTTGAGAAAAATTTGTCTACTGGATGGGTATCTGCAATTGGCTCAATGATAAAGACTTTCCCATATGGGTTAGGAGCAGTAGGTTCTGTCTCATGGATGGGTTTGAGACAGACAGAGTCTCTAAAGTTAGTGGTAGTTTTAGTACCAGCATTTCTTTGAGCAGGAGTCAGCAGGCTCTCACCCTCAGGTACCTCAGAGTCTGAGTCAAGGTTGGTGATAGTTTTAGTGCCAGCAGTTCTTTGGGCAGGAGTCAACAGGCTCTCACCTTCAGATCCCTCTGAGTCAAGTGGGAGCTGACTAGGTCTATTGCATAGTGACAAAGCAGAGAGTTTTTTTAGACTCTTCCTCTAGTTCATTTTTGAGTCCTATGAGTAGACCAGCAAAGTATCATGGATACCAGCATTATCTTACAAAAGAAATTGGTTTAAATCTTGAGTAGATGAGGAAATTAAAAATGAGCTGATTCTAAAAAATCTCTTGTTTGCCACTATGGTCTATTGAGACAGGCAAAACCTTCAAAGTTTCCAATTCCAGGATCACCAAGCCTATCACCAGAACTGGCCTCCTCTACATCTTCCACTTCCAGGTCTGGCAATGGCAGTTCACGGTGTTCACCCTGATGGTCAGTTACTGTTGGCATGTTGGAGGTTTTGGAAATGTACATCGAACTGTTTGGCGCTGGCAATGAACCATCTCCATCAGCAATTGGCAATGATTGGCTATGTGGGTCGGCCTGTGAATGCTTTGGTTGTTTACGGGAGGTTTTCTGAAGCGTTGATGATGCAGTCGCAGAAGAGCCGGTGTCCCCATCTGAATCAGACATAGACGAACTGCCCCCCTTACGCCGCTTCTGCCGAAGCACCGGCATCCTTTAGATAAATAAGGAGCTTCTAGCCTCAAGCTTTTGCTCCACACACCTATCTATAATTAGTTAATTACAATATTGAATATTAAACTATATTTATGTGATTTTCACAGTCGGGCACAGAGCACAAAAACTTACGTCCGTCTCGGTCCGAAGTTTAAACCGGAATCCGCTGAAGTAGCTGAAGACGCTGAAGTGTGGCGAATAATGGATCGATCGAATGCGGCGGAGAATCCGGCTATTCCGTAATTTTAGAAGCAGACACTGCAATAGCATATCACCAATAATATATATAACACTGGTGTCAAAAGAAACGAAAATCTTGAACCATAGCGTTTGAGGCAGATATACTCGTTCTCTGTTTAAACATGTTTAACGATTAATCACCTTTCATTTCAAGTGAAACCTGACGATCACTTCTGGTTTCACAGGTTCAACGCTGATATCTCAGAGATTTTTCAACCTAAAAAGTTCGGAGTGATGAAATGAGGTGAATCAATTACTTATTCACTGTAAATAATCACTCCGCACTCGACCGCAACATTTAGCACTCGCCAATAGTGCTTAGCGCAAAACGACCTCGAGCGGTTTAACTACTTCAACGATTATATCTTAGAAAATATTCAACCCAGAGAGTGCGGAGCGATGAAACAAGGTGAATCAATTACTTATTCATTGTAAATAATCACTCCGCACTCGACCGCAACATTTAGCACTCGTCAATAGTTTTTAACGCAAAACGACCTCGTACGGTTTAACTACTTCAACGCTTATATCTCAGAAAATATTCAACCCAGAGAGTGCGGAGTGATTATTGACAGTGAATAAGTAATTGATTCACGTTATTTCATCACTCCGCACTCTCTGGGTTGAATACTTTCTGAGATATAAGCGTTGAAGTAGTTAAGCCGTACGAGGTCGTTTTGCGCTAAGCACTATTGACGAGTGCTAAATGTTGTGGTCGAGTGCGGAGTTTTACTGATAGTGCTGTGTGGTGGTTTAAATCAAAATATGATTGATTGATTTCCGCCTTGTTTATATAAGATGGTTCTATAGTCGTAAGATTCTACTGTTCAAGCCAAGATAAGGCAATAAGTTTAATTGTATGAACATGAGTATAGTGCCGTTTTAAGCATATGTTATTTGTCAGATTTATTTTTTTTTTATTTTAGAACACAAAAAGGGGATATGCGTAGTTTGAGTGCTTAATTTTTCAACATAGGATAATGAAAAACGTTACTTAACTTCTCGGCAAATTCGCGGAATTCGTTCAGCCGCGGCGTTCCATCGATCAATCGTTCGCCACTTCAGCGACTTCGGCGTCCTCAGCTTTTAAGTGTTACCCGAAAAGTTCGACGTGGGCCGGCTCCTCGCTCGCGTCACAGCTCAGTGACCCTCGGAGTCGGTGTAGGCCACCATCAGAGGCGTTAAGGTCGGGGCCCTGATCATTGACATGAAACCATTCCCTGTTTTTAATTAATAAAATTAATTCCTTTTTGTTGGAATGGTGAGTGTGGGAGGCCTTTTTTTAAAATAAAATTTAGACGCATAACAATAGCTCCATTTACAATACTTGTCTAGTATACAATTGCACAAAGCCAGCGTTTGTACCGTTGAACGTTTTCATAAAATTCAATTTTCCACAACAGTAGTGGGTTCATATTCATGTGTACGCTATTTTACTTCTCAATATCCCTCTGCATTTAAATGTTCCCCTAACATTCAGGGGTCACCAAACTATGGCCCGCGGGCCAAATCCGGCCCACGTGTCAGTCGCTCAGTCCATCATGCCCATCGACGGTACTTTAATTTGCTTGATAAAATGGTTGGAACACAAGATGTTGTGATACAATTTAAATTTTATTATTACAATACTAGGAAATCATCGTGTGTGCGGAGACCTCTTGACCGCTATCGCGGCTATGTGCCTTAAATTTACTATTTTCAATTATTGTATAGTATAGTATCTTCGGCATTAAATAAATAGGCCTGGATAGGCCTGTCGCCGATTCTTGTACTTTTCTTGACTAGACTGGCCTTACGGACGGTAGATTTAAAATCGCTTCTAGATATCAGATGTTCCGTAGGGTACGAGGCATTTTAAGACTGAACATATGCTCATGCATGGCCTTGTCTAGTCTGTTCTTGAACGCGTTCATACTCGGAGCGTCAACAAATTGTATCTAAGTATTCTTGTTTATAGTAATGTTTGTTAAATTTCGCACCATCCCAAGTCCTTCCTCGGTTCGTGGTAGCTCCACTGTGATTGTGGTAGGGCAGATCAGGACTCATTTGGAAGATATTCAAATTACAGGCGCTTTGCTCATACACTGCAATGACTGCATCATACATCAGCAAGCACTCTGTGGGAAAGACTTGGATATTTCTTGTCTACTGAAACCAGTCGTTTCTGCTGTGAATTCCATTCGGGGACATGCACTCAATCACTGTCAGACGTCAGTTCCAGGCTTATATTGAAGAAATTTATTCTGATTTTTGTGACTTGCATTATTACACAGCAGTGAGATGGCTCAGCTGTGGTAAAGTCCTGTTTCGTTTTTACAAGTTCCGAAACAAAATAGATGTTCTTCTCACTGAAAAAATAGAGCCGATCCACAGCTGTCAGATCATATCTGGCTGTCAAAGTTGTCTTTTCTGGTCAAAATCACATCCCACATGAAAGAACTTAACTTGAAACTTCAGGGAAAGGATAACCTCATCTATGATCTCAACAGAATCATCAAAGGATTTTGGAGAAAGCTGTCATTGTTTGAAGCTCAACTGGAAGAAGAAAATTTCTCTCATTTTCACTGTTTCAGAGAGTTTTGCGCTTCAATCGCTGAAGATGTCAACCTCAATTTTCCAAATAGTTTATTATTTGTGAATTGAAGAAGCATTTTTTGGAGAGATTTTCAGATCTCGACAGAACTGAGAGTGACATTCTTCTGTTCCAGAATCCTTTTGATTGTAACCTCAATGATGTGCCAGTTCAACTACAGATGGAGCTCATTGATTTGCATCAAAAGACTTGTTGAAAGAGAAGCACAGAGAAGGAAAACTTGTCAAATTTTACCGCTGCTTACCTGATCCTGAGTTTTCGAAATTGAAGAAATTTGCCCCTGGTTTGGCATCTGTATCTATTTACTGTATTTACTGTATCTATTTTTACTGTATCTAACCCGTACTAGTTCGGTTAGGTTAATTGCAATAAAGTTGCATTAATATGTTTTGAAAATGTTTTATTATAATTAAATGTTTATGAGTAAATCCCAATAGCAGAACAATAAATATTCAGAGATTTCCAACAATTTTGGCCATTGTAGCGGCTAATGTAGCGGCGCTACATTTTACTGTAGCGGTATCGGTAGCGCCCGCTACATTTAGAGCATGTTGCGGTAGCGGTAGCGGCGCTACATTTCAAAGTAGCGCTGGCCAGCTCTGCTTGGGCACGTAAGATACAAAAACTTACAATAAGTAGTAGTAGTAGAATGATTTGCTAGCGCTTCAGCTAACAAGATATTTCACACCGGAGGTAAAAAAGATAACATCGCCAACAGGTCGGCAGGTCTCAATTATTTTAAGTTTCAAATTAATCATCACCTACAATGGGCAGGAGATCTTAGATGTACAGCCCGCTGAAGCTGACTCGAAAGAAGCATCATTAGCATCTAAAAGAGATGAAGAGACAAGGAGGGACAGGTGAAGAGCAGCAGAAACGAACACACTTGACAAGAGGTCGCTTACACGAGACGTCGGCCGCCCGCACGGGGGAGACAGAAGGGAAATGTAGGGAATCCTACCTACACAATAACTTAACCCCACAACTGAGACCTGATGTCAAGCACCGCGAGCTCCGTGAGGTCAGGCACGGCGAGCTCCGTGAGGTCAAGCACCGCGAGCTCCGTGAGGTCAGGCACCGCGAGCTCCGTGAGGTCAAGCACCGCGAGCTCCGTGCTCAGGATTAATGTCCACAGGAAAGTGAAATCCCTTAGGGCTTTTAACAAGATCAGACACACATCAAAAGCCTCCCCCCCCCCTCTGAGGGGGGAAACATACAACAATTCACCAAGGCCTTCATCTGGGGGAAAATGTACAACAAATGCACTAAGTACTTCATTTAACTAAACTAACATATATAAAATCGAATATCTATTAATAGCTAGCTAAATAGATAAAAGAGTGGCGGAGTGGGATTTACCCTCAACTTCATGTTTACGTTTAATTTGTATTAGCACTAAACCGTGCGTAAGAGCATTACATTTAACTCGTCAGAAGAGATCTGCATAACTCTGGCAAATTTACGTCCTTAACTGAGAAATCACAGCCTCACTGAATTTGCAGGTAACGTAAAACTTTAAGTTCTTAATATGCATACACAATTATTATCCTAAACTACAAGCCAATATTTTCATCATCTACTATTCAATATTAATTTCTGAAGCAGGAAAAATCCCAGTTATTCAAATTTAGAAGTATGAGTAAAATGCAATACAAGTTGACATGAAATCTAAAACAATTACTGACAGCATCAATTTACCACAACGGAAAGCCGCCAGCTTCCATGCACCAAATCGGAACGCCTAGCCCACGATCAAAGCGCCTGGCATTAAATAAGCCCACATTCAACCGCCTGGCATCAAACCAGCCTACGGTTAAACCGCCCGGCATCAAATCAGCTCACAGGCAAACCGTCAGACATCAAATCAGCCCAAAATCAAGTACCCCAGGATCGAACAGAACAGTTGCACGGGCGCAACAGAGCGCTGCACAATATGCACGATGGATGTGTAGCTGTACCTAAAACTTCTTTCATTCGAATGATAAAAACAAACTGTACATTTCTGGAAACCAAGCTCAGTAATCTGTAACCCAAGATATTATTTCGAGCTGCTAGGCACGGATCCTTTTGAGCTGCTAGGATTACGGGTTACCCCAAAAGCATGTTGTGATGTTAAGTTACAATCGCTTATTTCGTGAACCAGCGCACAATTGCATTAGATGTATGGAGCATCAGAGACCATAAACATTCTTTGAATTGAAGTCGCTCTCAGATGAAGATGGTTCATCTTTAACTTCGGTCTTGATCTCCATCTTTACTTTGACATCAGCGCCCTCAAGTGACGAAGGCTCCTTCTTGACGTCCATATCCATAGGTTCTTGCTTGATGAAGTTCATGCCTTCAGTTTTGTCATCAAGAAGAGTAGCTGATCCACTAGTGGCTGCAAGGACAGAAGAAGAGCTTGTCATTGTAGTAGTACATAGCAAGGAAGACTGGAGGCACAAGTTGCTGCTGTAGGTAACAGCAGGGCTGGACGAAGCGACTGTATTAGGAGCTTGAGAAATGTGTGACAGCGAAGTGTTCGAGATGTCGCCTCCACTGCACGCAACTTTTAGAGGAGCAGAAAAAGGTATGTTGGAGACGGCAATCATGGCGGTTGAAGTGTAAGGTGGGGGCACTAGCTGCGGTCTGATGGAGTTGCTCACTGAGGGAGCCATGGTGCTTACGCCTCCAGGGAAGCTGGACTTGCAAGAAGAAGCAATTAACAAACACGGCGGAATATTAACGGGGGACGAGTGAACTGAAGATGCTACATTCAGGGAAAGGTTTGTATTACACTGTAGTGATGAGGGCAGATTGGCTGGTGATGTTTCGGTGATGGATGAGCTGTTGTACGCTTGCTGCTGCTGCAAAGGGCTGCTTGACACCATTATGGGCGGCGCCGCACCACGAATGAGACCACCAGAACCGGTAGCACCTACAGCATTCATGGGCTTCACTATGACAGAACCCATGGGTCTGACACACTGTTGTTGTGGCTGCTGTGATATCGCGGGGTGGCCCAATGAGCTGAGGCCCGAGGACGCAGGTAAGGGCCCTCCTGGGTGTGGGCCCACCGCGACAGCATTCACAGGACCGATCATGGACTGAGGCGGAGGAGCAGCGGTTCCATCAACGGCAGGTTGGCCTTCTCGAGGAAACTGGCAGCACTGCATGCGCTTCTCTTCGAGTTCCTTTTGGATTTTGGAGATATTCTCAGCCAGAAGATGGTAGTATTCGTGCTGTGGAAATAATGAAGTTTGTTACTTTTTGGTTAACAGAGTGGTGTGAATAAACATTTGCATGTATGTGGAAGTTTCTAGAATTTATAGAAGTTTCTACTTGGGTAAATTTTATGCATCCTAAAGCCTGAGCTAGAAAATCAGAGGACAATACAATCAAGTTTCTAAAATAAAATCAGCCGAAAAATGAAGCAACATGAACGTCAACAGAAAAAGCAACTCAACCAATATCAAACTAAAACAAGTAGGATGGCTCACCCTTGAGCTAGCAGCATTGAACATGTCGCTCTCAACTTTCCTGGCGTAATTGGCATTAGTTATAATTAATGATGCAAACAGTTTCTGCACGAAGTGGTTACGCAATTCGTTAGTGATGCTGTGGTGCCACTCCTTGGTGCTTTCTGACTGGCGTGCCTTCACCACTATGCTGCCAGGGAGCTGGCCAGGATGGTTGGGTAAATTCAAACAAGACTCCGCCATGCTCGTAGTCATTGCTCCCTGTAACCACAAATCAAAATCTGTAACTTTTTTTGCAAATAGGCAGTCTAACAGAAAAATTTTTCCATAGTACTTTTGCCACTGAGCCTTAAAATTTACTCCTCAAAACTGGATAGCATTGTTCAAACTGCCAATATATAACAGAAACAACAAATATTTTAATAATTCAACTGATGTGTAACAAATAAATTCATTCATGCATGACACTTCTCGCTCAATTTTCAACACTGACTGCTGCTCACCATTGAGGAAGAAACATTGGGCAGTTTCGGAGCCCCCACAACGATGTTGGGTGTAGCATTTGGTGACATAAGGTTGGGTTGATGGCCTGCTGGCCGAGTTTGGCAGCGGTCAGGTCTCAGTGAGTGGATGAGCTGCGGCCCAAGAGCACGAGACCCTGAAGAGATCATGGTAGAGCCTGACGGGTTGCACCCCACCTGCATCTGCTGGGAAGGAACGTCTGATCGCTGCTGCATGGGAGGACCAGGTCGTCCAGCAACACCAACTCCCTGCTGGGCGGACGTCAGAGTCATGAGCAGTCCATCAGGATCAAGCATGTCTGGCTGGTTGCTGGAGTTGATGGGCTCGCCATCAAAGCTTCTCTTGAGTCCAGCTCTCTTAGCCGCAGCTGCTGCAGCAGCCGCGGCTGCATTAGGCATGTTACCGCCGCCTGTCATCACACAATTGGCCATTGGTGCTTGGGTGTTGATGTTCGAACCTCCAGGCAGAGATATAATGGATTGCTGACTACTGTTTATACTGCTGTTAATTGCTGTACTGTTGCTGTTCTGCATCGAACAGACACTCACAGAAACAGTCACGTTGGGCTGCACCCCTCCTTGTAACTGAGAGGCTTGCTGCTGTGACTGCTGAGGACGTTGCAAGCCAGGCTGCATTTTTTGTTGTTGCTGTTGATGGCCAGGCATACCAAGAGCAGCAGCAGAAGCATTGGCAGCCATATTGTGGAGAGGCTCACAAACCGGACATTCATGACGTGCACAATTATACCAGTGAGAAACGATCTGCCGAGAGGAAGCGCAGAGTGGGACAAACCAAGTATTGCCTGCTTGGTCTTTCCTCATGTGGGACAAGACGTCCTTCATGGTTTGGCAGTGGGTTAGATTTGACGTCTGAAACATGAGAATAATATTACCGCAATGCTCTCTTGAACACAAACTTCCATCATACTGCAATGATAGCAATGAGTGCTGCTTAGGCTCGTCTCATCTCATTGCACGATCCCGCCAAGAGACTATTTAAAAAGTAAGAAGTTTGATATATATTTTTTATACTTTCGCTAACAAGATGCATAATCCATAGAGGTTCAGCCAGCAGACTAAATTGCAATTCACTAAAAAACTTTCAACAACAGAAACTAAAAAACATTTAACATTTCATTAACAACAGAAAAAATAAACATTTCAGCCACATGAATAATTTAAACAGATTCCATCAATATTAAAGTTGATAACTTGACTGAGATGTTAGTTACCAAATTATGAAGATGACTTAGTGCAGATGCACCTGTCACATATCTAAGTCCACATCAAAGGTTAGGTATTTAGATGAATAATTAGCCAGAGGTTCAGTATTTAAATGCTAAAATGGCCAGAGGTTAGGTTTTTAGATGCATTAATAACTTTAGGTTGCATGAATAACTGGGTATTGTCAATATTTGGGTGTGAGAATATTAGGAATAGTTTCATTTAGGGTAAATTTTATGCTGTATTTTAAGCATTAGCCATGATATCTGAAGCAAAATAATATAAATAATTTTCAAAAATTATCTCAGCTGGAAATAAAGTAACATAAATGTTGCCATTTAGCCAGACTTACAATAAATATCAAACAAAAACAAGTAGCGTGACTCACCCTAGAGCTTGCAGGATCAAAGTTGTTCCCAACATTTCCGGGTAAGTTGAGAATATTCTGCATCCTTGGGTCCTGCATAGTGAGGGGCTCTGGGCTCGGGGGAATGACTTGCTCGCTGCAACAAACAATAGGTTATTCTAAATATGCCATGCAAACATTTCATATGGTCATATTAGTCATATGGCCATATTAGTCTCGTCGTGTCAACAGAGGGAGCGTCATATGGTCATGTTAGTCACATCATGTCAACAGAGGGAGAGTCATATGGTCATGTTAGTTTCATCCTCTCAACAGAGGGAGCGTCATATGGCCATGTTAGTCTCATCGTGTCAACAGAGGGAGTGTCATGTGCACATATTAGTCTCGTCATGCAGACAGAGGGCTGTCTCTTATACACATCTNAGCATCATATGGCCATGTTAGACTCATCATGTCAACAGAGGGAGCGTCATATGGCCATATTAGTCTCACCCTCTCAACAGAGGTAGCATCATATGGCCATGGTAGTCTCATCCTCTCAACAGAGGGATCGTCATATGGCCAGGTTAGTTGCATCCTGTCAACAAAGAGAGCGTCATGAGGCTGTTAGTCTCATTATGTCACCAGAGGGAGCATCATATGGCCATGTTAGTCTCATCCTCTCAACAGAGGGAGTGTCATATGGCCATGTTAGTCGCAGCCTGTCAACAAAGAGACCATAATGTGGCTGTTAGTCTTATTATGTCACCAGAGGGAGCGTCATATGGCTGTTAGTCTCAACGTGTCAACAGTCAACAGAGGGGCATCATATGGCCATGTTAGACTCATCATATTAATAAAGGGAGACTCATATATTCATGCTAGGTCATCACATAACTTGAGATAAACAACACAACCGTGAACCATGCTACCAGGCAGCTTGCCAGGATGGTTGGGTAAATTCAACCAAGACTCTGCAATACTTAGAGCTATTGTGCCAGGCATCCACTTGCGCCATTTGTCAGTCTGCTTTGTGCTTGGGCAGATGACTGATGCTTGCATAGTGGTTTATTAATATGTAGGACTGTTGTTGGCGTGAAGAGATGGTGTTTGAGGTGGTTTTTCTTGAGTGGGATGGGGGTGAGGCCACTGTCGGAGCTGGTGAGACTGCAGATTGTTTTATATTTAATTATATTGCTCCAAATGCTGCCGGCCTGCCTGTGGTTGGAGCGCGGCCCGGATTGGGACCCAAATCGACAGCCAACTTTTCCCCGTCCTCCAAAAGGGGGACCCGAAGCCTATGTTTTTTGGTGCTGCCGGCCTGCGGCTCCCCACGTGAGGTAGGCATCTCTGTTGCTACTAGCAGGGGATGTCGAGGAGAACCCGGGTCTGACTTGGATGTGTGACATAAGCAATAGACAAATCACAAAACGCCAATACTCTTTTCTGTATAATAGTCTCGCCCCACATTGGATCCATAAAAACTGCACAAAATACAGCTCCATCACACATATTCCTGGACCTGTCACCAACACACTCTGCCAATCCTTCCCAGGCCAAACATCCATCAATACACAAATTCCTGGACCTGTCACCAACGCACTCTGCCAATCCTTCCCAGGCCAAACACATCACAGCCGCCAGCATTGCAATTCATTCCAAACCCAGTCACGGCTCCCCAACTTCCTTTGCCCCTGCTACCCACTCCACCTAACAATCTCACACAACCCCCCTCACCCCCAATCAGACCCAGAATAATATATACGTTTAAAAATTTCGTTTTAAAGACAAAACTTCTAAAGAATCCAGTGTTTCCAATGTTACAGGTGTAAAATGAATTTATAATTTTATTTTCGAATATTAAAAAAATTAATTCTTCAATTTTTTATTATATGAAATTATTACTTCTGTCAATTGATTCATGCATTGCCCCCAACTTCACATAAGTGTGCGAAATTTCATATCAATTGGACAGGAAAAAGTGTGTCAAATACCAATAATTATAAGATTTGTAGCTGACAAAACTATTTTTTCAGTTTTTTTAATATTAAAAAAATTATTCATAATATTATTTATTTTGTCATTTGATTCATGTATTGTCTCCAACTTTACACAAGTGTGCAAAATTTCAGATCGATGGGATAAGTAGAAGTGTATTAAATTTCGATTACAAGATTTGTAGCAGACAGACAAACAAGAAGTGAAGTTAAAGAGAAGTGTTGTAAAAACACCCTCAGACATCAAAAAATGCAGATAAATATTAATGGACTAACAAGCAAAATAAATACCTCAAACTGACCACAAAACAATACGACATAGACATCATCACAATCCAAGAATCCAAACTTAAACCGACAACTCGCACACCCACTCTACCCGATTAACACTGCTATTCATCAAGATAGGGCACACAAGACAGGAGGTGGACTCATCATCTACATTCACAATAACATAGTTTTCACTACAATTGCAATTCCTCAACACATCAACCAAGAAACCACTGAAACCCAACTAGTCAAAATACATCTCTCCAAAAACAAATTCGTACACATAGCTAACATATACATCCCTCCCAGAGATGCATGCCTGCTGTACCATCATAAGCTAGACCAATACATCTCTGACTGTTTCACATACCTCCTCAACAAGCCTTGTACCATTATTGCAAGAGACATCAATGCTCATCACCCATCCTGGTACTCTCCCAACTCAGACCATAGAGGCAACCTTATTAACTCGCTCATACAAAACTCCAACCACATCATACTCAATGAAAACACCCACACGCAGACCCACTACAATAGAACAGCAACCCACAGCACCAGACATATCTACAGCCTCCAACGTCATCTCAAACAAAATAACATGATCAACTATCACAGCTCACAGTTCTGATCACGTTCCTATCATATTACAATTTTGCACCAAAACTAAATTCCGCATAACAACCTATAACAGATCTTTCACCAATTACCACAAAGCAGACTGGACAGCTTACTCGCAGGAAATAGACCATGCACTCCAAGACACTCCAGCACCCACCAACATTCACATTGCCAAAAAAATACTCACTGGACTCATCCTACAAGCAGACAAACATCACATACCCAAAGAAAAAAATAAAAACAAAATGGATACCTCTACCCCAAGACTTCAGAGACAAAAAAAAAAAAAACAATGCAACCATATCAGGAAACAAAACAGACACGACCCATCTATCCAACAACTCAACAGAGATATATAGACCTTGAAATAAATGCAACCTATGGAAAGAGCACATCAATCAAAACTGGAATAACAAACAAAACTCACACATTCTCAGGAAGACAATCTCATCACTCTCAAATAAAACACCACACCAAGAACTTAGCAAAACTATACAATTCATAACCACAACAGCATACACTGACAAAGAGAAGGCAACACAATTCAACAAACAGTTCATAAACACCAAACCGCACCAAAGCTTGCACAATAACAGGATAACAGATAGGAGAATTAAATCATTAAAGGGCAACCCAATAAATATAACAACAGCCATGACCACACTCGCCATAAAAAACAGTAAAAACAACAAATCAACTGGACCAGACCATATAAACATACTCCATCTCAAACACCTAGGCCATACAGCAATTACATACCTCACTCAAATATATAATATCACAATAAATTCCAATACAATAACCCATACCTGGAAGTTAGCCAAGATAATTCCAATTCCTAAACCTGGCACAGACAATAACATAGGGTCCTCCTATAGACCAATTTCACTTCTCAGTCCAATAGCCAAAACACTGGAAAAAATTATCCTTGACACAATCACACCTCATCTCCCTAACATTGAACACCAACATGGCTTCAAGCAACACCATTCTATGATCACAGCACTCCAACATATCACAGAACACATTGCCACAGGTTTCAATCAAAAACGCCCTCCACTTTGAGCAATAGCCAGAGCATTAGACATGAGCAAAGCATTTGATATGGTTAACCTGCACACACTCATCTACAATCCTTCCACAACTGCAATAAAGCACACTACACTTATATACATAGCAAACTACATCAAAAGCAGAAAGGCTTCACACAATTCAATAATACCAATTCAAAACAGAAAATATTCAAAACAGGCATACCCACACTGTTCAACATATATGTTTCAGCAATACCCTCACCTCCACCCAATATTAAAATAATTACATATGAAGATGACAAAACAATCTTATCCTCCCACAAAGACTACAACACTGCTGCACAAACCCTTCTTCCATACCTACAAACCATATACACATGGACCACATAAAACCAACTACAACTCAATGCAACAAAAAGCACTGCCACTCTTTTCACACCTGATCCAGCCGAATATAGCACACATCTCAACTTCAATATCAATAATACACTCATTCCAACAGTACACAACCCTAAAATACTAGGACTTTCCTTTGACCCAAAGCTCACCTTCAGCACACACATTAGTAATACTCACAACAAAGCCAATAATACCATCAAAATAATCAAATCACTTACAGCCACATGATGGGGAAACAAAAAGAACTACTCACAACCACATTCTAAACGATCACGCATCGAATCCTAGAATACGCAAACTCATCCTGGTCACCAATTATATCACTCATGCACATGAACAAACTCCAAACAATCCAGAATGCAGCATTCAGGATAGCCACAGGCTGTACCTCAGACACCAACATCCATCACCTTCACCATGAAACCAAACTCCTACCCCTAACACAACACCTCAAACTTCATGCCTCACAACTCAGACAGAAAGCACAAAACCCAACCCACCCACTACATACCCTCACCCTTCAGCTGCACCCACACAATCTCATGAAACAAACCATTTTCCACAACTCAGGTTTCATCACCAACATAGATACTCCACCTGCACATGCCACACAAGACACAATCAAACAAAATCTCAAAACAATTCACACTACAATCACAGAAAACTATCCTGCAACCCTTCCTCACAATAAAATTCTAAACATCCCCGCACCACAGATCCACCCATCTGAAATCAACCTACCTAGACCTGCACGCAGGAACCTTGCCCAACTTTGCACAAACAAATCACTGCTACTTCTCTCATATCTAAACAAAATAGACCCTGCCTCACACCCTTCTCGACTTTGCCCACTCTGCTTATCCAACACGCACGACACCATTCATCTTTTCTCCTGCCCTGAAATGCCCACATCCCTGTTGGTGGGTGACCTTTGGGCAGATTTCTTCTCATTAAGGAAGGTACTGAGATCAAAAGCATTAACTATTTACTCACTATTGGATAATTTTATAAACTAAAAACAATATTTTTACCTCTTGCCAGCATGAGGAGCAGAATGATGGCACTTTTGCGCATGCAGGATCAGCGCCATCTGCTCCTGCAAGATGGAACTGTTTGTATCAGTGTCTGTGGCTGCCTTGAGCTGAGAAGCACTGGAGGCTGCAGATATCCCCTGCACTCCAGCGGGTCTGTTGGGCACTGCTGTGCTGGTAGAGTACATAGGGCCACCACCTCCTACCATCACGGGCGCCATGCCACCAGCATCGTTGGTCATGTTATACTCTGTGAGACTTCCTTGGATTTGTACAGGACCACCAGAAGTCCCTGAGTCTAGAGGGCCTATCTGCATGACTTGTCGTCCCCCAGGCCCAGCACCCATACCCAGGTTGTTGGGCCCAACACCAGGGTTGTTGATGAGGCCCATGTCCTGTGTTGGGTAGTGTGGGGTAGCGTTAATTTGCAGGTATACCATAACTGTTCATTTCACTTTTCATGCCCAAGAAGTGGAATGTTGAAAATCCCAACAAGCTTTTTACAATCGATATAGTATGTATGTTCAAATGATTTGATAAGCACAATTCACATTTGCACAATTACAAATATGTTTAAAAAGCATATTGCATAAATTATTTACATCTAATATCAAGTCCTCTACACAAGAAGGGGTAGCCTAATTGAAATGCTGTTGAAACCATTTTTATGCACAAGCCACTGATGATGTAATTAAATAAATTTTGGAATTAATGTATGCTCATATTTTCATTTTTCATGGTAATCATCTAGAAAAGTATGATAGTCCATTAATTTATGTTATGTTACATAGGTTTTGCAATATTTCATTCTAAAGTGACTACCGTCAATGCCACATAAGTTGCCACTTTCGAAAAACCCGCTAGAATATACTAAATTTTGAAACACCAAGAAGCTAAAAATTAAATGTAACACTTGTGCAGGGTTGGCTTATGTTCAGACTTTTGAGAAAAAAAGTCACTACATTTTTTTATTGCTCGATCATATAATAAAATGGAAGTTCGTGAGACTCGTCGGGAGTGGCGAGGTATATAGTACCTACTTTAAAGTTGCCAGCGATATTAACAAAGGGTACACTAAAGTCGCCATAGCCTGGTGAGGTTATTGCAGTCTTTTCATGAATAGCGCCTTCGTAAGGTACAGTAGAGAAAGCCTCAAATTCACGCGGAACCAACCCTCCAACTTTGGTCTTTATGTAAGAAATTAAAGAAAAAAAATTGCTTTTGGTCAAAAATAAACGAAACTCCAAGGAATATATCTCTCTTCTAGCTACCATATTTCAGTGGATTTGCACTAAAATTCAATTTCGTGATTCGTGACTGGTAGAAGCTGTCCTTTTAACTGCATCGATGTTGGGAGGGCTGTTCAATGTTCATACCATTCATTCGCTTCTACTCTATTGAAAAAAATACACTTCATGGATGAACATTGCGTATGAAAAATAACTCTGTTACCATGTAGCTAGTGAAGCAATATCTTTGTACACAGCGTGAACAATTTCTTTGAATATAAAAAATGTAATTCCCAACCCCATCTATAACACGGGG